TCGCTAAGTTGATATATTATATGCACACTAAGTGGTGTATGCAAAATGTGGTTTTTTTATATATTTTATATCTTATATTTTATGTTTGTCTATATCATTTCTCTCTGATGGCATTACAAATAGTGATTGTCTGCTGACGAGATCTTGGCCCCTCCTACTAACCTGAGACTGCCCAACCCAGTGGGGAGGGCCTAGGTTCAGTCCAGGAGTATATATAGGAGAGAGCACTCACAGTTCAGTTAGCTCTGAGGAAGAAGGGACCCCCTTCGAAACGCGTCAGCTGTACTGAACACCCACTCCCCTGATGGGACTCATGTTATTTTCAAGTCCCTGTGAGGACTTACATGCCTGATTTTATTCGCTGTTTGTGAGTATATTTTTTACAATTAATAAATTTTGGTTACTGAGGTAATGCGCAAGGTGGGTGCGCTTCTCGTTTCCATTTCATTCTGCAGTGTTGATTGGGCTTCCCCAGCCTTGTTTTGGAGCCGCACAGCCCTTTATGCATTGGTGGACGATCCCTCCAGGCCTGGTTCCATCTGTTCGCCACCTGTCTGAGTCCCAGAGCGCAGGAGAATTCGTTTTTGATTTATCTGCTTATGTCTGCTCTAATCTCCACCTGGCATCTGACCCTGGCTCTAAACTGGCTGCTCTTCTGTTCTCTGCTACACTGAAGGCCTGCTATCTCTCACGGGTGCCACCTGTCTGCAGACACCACTCCAGTCCATCAGCTGTTCTCCTGGGTGTACCTCTGAAAAACATGCTCAGTCACACCATCATTTGGGCCTATCTACTTCTGTCCCATCTTTAGGGGAGTCTGGAACTTAGCTGTAAGAGAAGCTCTCTCTCCATTGGTCTTCAACACCAGGTACATGACACATTGATTTACTAAATGCAAGTAGTCTGTTCACTTTACAGGGGAATATTTCACAGGGATTAGTGAATGAGATAAAGCTTTTCTGGCTTCCATCACCCAATTATGTGAAATCAAAAATCCTGTTTTTTCTTTTTTAAGACTGAGACAGAGGACTGGATGGGCTGTACTGAAGGGTAAGGATGGGAGGGTGCTCTGTACAGGTAGGTGTGGTTACACAGCGGGGGGGGGGGGTGTCTAATGGGAGTTGTCTCTACTTGGAGGGGTTGGGGTCTGTATGGGATGGTCTGAGAGGTTAGGCTGGGAGAAGGGGATATGTATTGGGAGGTGTCTCTACTCAAGAGGGGTCTGTATGGGAGTATATACTTAGGGGCTAGGCTGGGAAGAAGCTATACTTAAGCAGGTCTGTACTGAGGGGTTGGGGTAGGATGGGATTTGTACTGGGGGATCTGTACTTAGGGGTTAGGAAGAACAGAGGTTGTACTGGGGTAGGTGCTGTACTGAGGGTTTAGGATAGGAGAAGAGTCAGTACTGAGGGGTTAGGATGGAGGGAAAGTCTGTACTGAGGGGTTAGGATGGAGGGAAAGTCTGTACTGAGGGGTTAGGATGAGGGGGTAGTACTGGGGAGTCTGTACTGAGGGGTTGGGGTAGGATGGGATTTGTCCTGGGGGGTCTGTACTTAGGGGTTAGGAAGAACAGAGGTTGTACTGGGGAGGCACTATACTGAGGGTTTAATATAGGAGAAGAGTCTGTACTGAGGGGTTAGGAAGGAGGGAAAGTCTGTACTGAGGGGTTAGGATAGGAGGGGAGCTATATGGGGGAAAAGTCTGTACAGAGTGGTTAGGAAAGAAGGAAGCCTTTCCTGGGAAGGGTCTATACTGAATGGTTAGGCTGTATAGGGGGATCTGTACCCGGGAGGGTCTGGACTGAGGTTAGACTGGGAGAAAGGGTCTGAACTGGGATTGTCTGTAGTGAAGAGTGAAGCTTGGAGAAGGGGTCTGTACTGAGGTGGTGGGCTGGTTGGAGGGATTCATGAATGGGGGCAGGGGCGGACTGACAACTCATGGGGCCCCCAGGCAATAGGGGATCATGGGGCCCCTGTGTCCTTGCCCAAACTCAAAAAAGCCTATGAAAAAGGAACCAGGGGCATCTCATGGGGCCCCCTACTGACCCCGGGCCCTCGGGGGCAGTGCCCAAGTTTCCAAATGGTCAGTACACCCCTGGGGGGGGAATCTGAACTGGGGAAGATTAGGGTTGTTGCTTGAGATCTGTACAGTGGATGATGTGGGCTTGGGGCAGGACTGGCAGGAGGGGTCATTATTGGTTGCATTCTGTGCAGTGGCCTGTGGATTACACTTTCCTGAACCCTGCACTCTGAGCATTCTGCGCTTCTGGCAGTGTGGGTACAAGTACTGTGGCATACTGTATGGGTGTATACAGTGAGTAGGCTCAGGTTTTATTTAACCATGGCCCTTTAGGCCCATCCAACTGTGCAATCTGGCCACACCTCCAGTACTTTATTCCATTACGTATTTTTGTGTCTGTGAGGGAGGAGTTGTTCAAATATCTCCCCCGGGTGACAGATATGCCAAGTATACCCCGGCATGCTTGGGTATTATTTGCAAAGTGACATTTTGCCACATTCACTAAACTCTGAAAATTCCATTGCAAAGTTCAAATACCCTTGTAAAGAGAACAGCCTATTCACCTTTGGTAAATTAACCCTGTGTTTCCTCCCACTGGCTCCTGACTCCTGTGGCCATGTATGAGCAAGCAGGAATTGCTGCTTGGGTATGGAGAAGCAGGTATTCCGCTTACCCCGAACTGTGGAATACCTACACTGGCCAAGTAGTAATGAAGAGGTGGCATCTAATGACTTTGGCTGACAAAAAGGTAAATATAAATTTTACAAGACTTTTATTAGTGACCCCATGGAGACAGGGTCACTTTAACTCTGTAATATAGTAACACTGTGTAAGCCTTATGAATTTCATTGCTCAAAAAAATGAAAGGAACACTCTGAAAACACATCAGATCTCAATGGGCAAAAATATCGTGCTGGATATCTATACTGATATGGACCGGCTAATGTGTTAGGAAGGTAAGGATGGCCCATCGTTTGATGGAAATGAAAATGATCAACCTACAGAGGACTGAATTCAAAGACACCCCGAAAATCAATGTGAAAAAATGATGCAGCAGGCTAGTCCATTTTGCTAAAATTCCATTGATGCAGCTCAAAATGGTAGTTTGTAGGGCCTCCATGTGCTTATATGCATGCCTGACAACATCGGGGCATGCTCCTAATGAGACGACGGATGGTGTCCTGGGGTATTTCCCCCAAGATCTGGACCAGGGCATCACGGAGCTCCTGGACAGTCTGAGGTGCAACATGGTTGCGTCAGATGGACCGAAACATGATATCCCAGAGGTGTTCTATTGGATTTTGATCAGGTGAGCGTAGGGACCATTAAATTATATCAATTCCTTTTTCCTCTAGGAACTGCCTGCATACTCTCGCCACATGAGTCATGCAAAAGGAGGAACCCAAGACCCACTGCACCAGCATAGGGTCTGACAATGGATCCAAGGATTTCATCCTGATACCTAATGACAGTCAGGGTGCCACTGTCTAGCTTGTAGAGGTCAATGCGTCCCTCCATGGATATGCCTCCCCAGACCATCACTGACCCACCATCAAAATGGCCATGCTGAACCATGTTACAGGCAGCATAATGTTCTCCACGGCTTCTCCAGACCCTTTCACATCTGTCACATGTGCTCAGGGTGAACCTGCTCTCATCTGTGAAAAGCACAGGGGGCCAGTGGTGGACCTGCCAATTCTGGTGTTCAATGGCAAATGCTAGTTGAGCTCTATGGCAGTGAGCACATGGCCCACTAGAGGATGACCCAGACCATCACTGACCCACCATCAAAATGGCCATGCTGAACCATGTTACAGGCAGCATAATGTTCTCCACGGCTTCTCCAGACCCTTTCACATCTGTCACATGTGCTCAGGGTGAACCTGCTCTCATCTGTGAAAAGCACAGGGGGCCAGTGGTGGACCTGCCAATTCTGGTGTTCAATGGCAAATGCTAGTTGAGCTCTATGGCAGTGAGCACATGGCCCACTAGAGGATGACCCAGACCATCACTGACCCACCATCAAAATGGCCATGCTGAACCATGTTACAGGCAGCATAATGTTCTCCACGGCTTCTCCAGACCCTTTCACATCTGTCACATGTGCTCAGGGTGAACCTGCTCTCATCTGTGAAAAGCACAGGGGGCCAGTGGTGGACCTGCCAATTCTGGTGTTCAATGGCAAATGCTAGTTGAGCTCTATGGCAGTGAGCACATGGCCCACTAGAGGATGTTGGGCTCTCAGGCCACCCTCATGAAGCCTGTTTCTGATTGTTTGAGACATTCACGCCAGTGGCCATCTGGAGGTAATTTTGTAGGGCTCTGGCAGTGCTCATCCTGTTCCTCCTTGCACAAAGGAGAAGATACCAGTCCTGCTGATGGGTTAAGGACCTTCTATGGCCCTGTCCAGCTCTCCTAGAGTAACTGCCTGTCTCCTGGAATCTCCTCCATGCTCTTGAGCCTGTGCTGGGAGACACACCAAACCATCTGGCAATGGCACATATTGATGTGCCATCCTGGAGGAGTTGGACTGCCTGTGCAACCTCTGTTGGGTCCAGGTGTGTCCTCATGCTACCAGTAGTGACATTGACCCTAGCCAAAATGCACAACAAGTAAAAACAGTCAGAAAAAAAGGAGTAGGCAAACAAATGTCAGTGGCCTCCACCTGTAAAACCATTCCTGTTTTAGGAGTTGTCTCATTGTTGCCCATCTAGTGCACCTGTTGTTAATTTAGTTAACACCAAAGCATCTGAAACTGAATAACAACCCCCTCTGCTACTTAACCGACCAGATCAATATTCCAGGAATTACATTGACTTGATGATTACTATGATTAAAAAGTGTTCCTTTAATTTTTTTGAGCAGTGTATAATAAATTAATAAATATAGCTAATACGACTAACAGAGAGGCCTATCTTCTGTCTGTCTGTCTTTCCTACTATGTTTGAATACTGAATGATATTTGTATCTGTTCTCTTACGTTCTCAGATACAAATGTCGCCCTCCAAGGTCGAGCAACTCAATCTTCAATTTTACGAAGCTCAAGCAGCGGCTATCAGTCAGCAGCAATAAACGCCATAGATGGGAACCAAGACTCTGACTTTTCCCATGGATCCTGCTCACATACACATAATGACCCGTCTCCTTGGTGGAGGGTGGACCTGCTGACACCTCACATAATCAGTCATATCAACATCACTAGCAGAGGAGACTGCTGTGCTGAAAGACTGAATGGTGCTGAAATTCTTATTGGAAACTCTCTGTCCAACAGTGGAAACAATAATCCCAGGTGGGGTTGGGTTTGGCTTACTTTCTTTCTTCCATGTTAATGTTTGTACTGATCACTACAGAAATATTGGTTTTGCACACCTTTTAGATTGATTATTATTGTAATTTTTGTGTGTCCGGAATATTTTTTTTCTGTTTTTCAATCTTCCACATACTCTCACTGGCCAGTTTATTAGGTCCACCTGTTCAATTGCTTGGTAACATAAATTGCTAATCAGCCAATTACATGGCAGCAACTCAATGCATTTAGGTATCCAGACGGTGGTGAAGACCAAGCATCAGAATGGGGAAGAAAGGGAATTTAAGTGACTTTGAACATGGCATGGTTGTTGGTGCCGGACAGGCTGGTCTGAGCATTTCAAAAACTGCTGATCTACTGGGATTTTCACTTACAACCATCTCTAGAGAAATCAGACCGGGCAACGTTTTTCCAATCTTCTATTGTCCAGTTTTGGTGAGCCTTTGCTAATTGTAGCCTCCGTTTCCTGTTCTTAGCTGACAGGAGTGGCACCCGCATTTGTCTTCTGCTGCTGTAGCCCATCTGCTTCAAGGTTCGACATGTTGTGCATTCAGAGTATACCGCATACCTTGGTTGTAACGAGTGGTTATTTCAGTTATTGTTGCCTTTCTATCATCTCAAACCAGTCTGCCCATTCTCCTCTGACATCAACAAGGCATTTTTATCAAGGGGAAATGATATCTCTCTCTCTGGAGTCTATACCTCTTTTAATACAAGAGAGGATTTTGCTCACTTTAGAGACCACAGTTTGGCATTGCATGCCATTATTAAGCTTGTGATCTACCAGAACCCTCAGATCCTTCTCCACCATTGATTCCCTCCAGATCCTTCTCCACCATTGATTCCCCCCATGTCCTTCTCCACCATTGATTCCCCCCAGGTCCTTCTCCACCATTGATTCCCCCCAGATCCTTCTCCACCATTGATTCCCCCCAGGTCCTTCTCCACCATTGATTCCCCCCAGGTCCTTCTCCACCATTGATCCCCCCAGATCCTTCTCCACCATTGATTCCCCCCAGGTCCTTCTCCACCATTGATTCCCCCCAGGTCCTTCTCCACCATTGATTCCCCCCCAGGTCCTTCTCCACTATTGATTCCCCCCCAGGTCCTTCTCCACTAGTGATTCCCCCCCAGGTCCTTCTCCACCATTGATTCCCCCCAGATCCTTCTCCACCATTGATTCCCCCAGATCCTTCTCCACCATTGATTCCCCCAGATCCTTCTCCACCATTGATTCCCCCAGATCCTTCTCCACCATTGATCCCCCCAGATCCTTCTCCACCATTGATTCCCCCAGATCCTTCTCCACCATTGATCCCCCAGATCCTTCTCCACCATTGATCCCCCAAGATCCTTCTCCACCATTGATCTCCCAGATCCTTCTCCACCATTGATCCCCCCAGATCCTTCTCCACCATTGATCCCCCCAGATCCTTCTCCACCGTTGATCCCCCCAGATCCTTCTCCACCGTTGATCCCCCAAGATCCTTCTCCACCATTGATCCCCCAGATCCTTCTCCACCATTGATCCCCCAGATCCTTCTCCACCATTGATCCCCCCAGATCCTTCTCCACCATTGATCCCCCCAGATCCTTCTCCATCCTTGATTCCACTATTAGTGTTTATTCCTTGCATGATTTACCAATGGAAACATGGAGTTGGAGCTGAGCCAAGAGCAGAGCCATCTCTGCGCTACAAACCAGAGAGTTGTCTCGGGTTAACTCCAAAAGCGCTGTTGTCTTTTCTGATATAAAAGCTCTGGTAAGAGCTCTTATATGTCTGTTGTTTTCACCAGGATCCTAGAGGTGTCATCTTCCTCCTTTCTTGATTTACTCAATGTGGGGTTTTCCCGGCTCTTTTGATGATTTGGGTTCACTCATTTAAGAAGTTTTTTGAACACTGACTTTTGTATGATTGATGGACTTTACCATTAGTTAGCACTTTTGTATAATTGTATATAAAATATATGAAAAAAATATTTTAAAAATACATTTCAAATATACTGTCTGTCTTTAAAAATACAAATCTGCATTTTTGGAATACATTTACAAATATATGTAAAAATATATGTTAAAATGACTTTTTTGTATGTTAAAAAAAAATCTGAAGAATATATTTAAAAAATTAATATTTTTAAAAATATTCTTCAGATTTTTTTTTAACATAAAAAAGTTATTTTAACATATATTTTTACATATATCCGTAAATGCATTCCTAAAATGTAGATTTGTATTTTTAAAGACATACAGTATATTTGAAAATGTATTTTTAGCAATAATTTTCATATATTTTGTAATACAAATGCATTTCAACATACTATATATATACACATATATATATATATATATATATATATATATATATATATATATATATATATATATAAATATGTATGTATATTAAAAAAAAAAAAATATATATATATATATATGTATATTTAAAAAAAAAATTATATATACATATATATATATATATATTAAAAAAAATAATAAAAAAAAAAAAAATATATATATATATATATATATATATATATATTGTTTATTGAATTATATTGAATATGGGCAAAATTGCAGTATTTCAAATATATGTCAATATATTTGGGAAGAATATTTTTTAAATATATTTCAAATATATTTTTCATCCATGTGGGTAGAATTGCATAGAATCTGAGTGCCAGTTACTGCACCTAATGCGTCAAGATGCATTAACGCTGCATTTTTGACACGTTTGTGATGCGTATGTGTCACGTTAAAAATTGCTTCCCAGATGCCCCCTCTTCATTGGTTTTTCATTGTATGGGTTTTTGTATTATCATCTCAACTAGCAAATCTTTCTAAACCTCAAAACTCAAATGAACTGTAAACGCCATAGGGCCGTTTGTGATGCAATTGCAGCACTTTTACAATAGAAGCATTTGGGGAGCAGCAAAGCCTGGTGAATGACACATGTTGGGTCAATTTTGACGCAATGCAACGTGATGCTAGTGCAACTATGTGAACAACCATGCTGCCATGTACACAGTTTGGACAGACATTCCTGGAGAATCATGAAATGCCTGCTGTTGAAGGTAGTGTAAACTTAGCCTTAGGCTAGATTCAAACCTATGCAGATTGTGTTTGAGCCGTTTCTGCATTGCAGGTTTTTTTTTCACGTTTTTGCCGCGTTTTTTTATGCTTTTTAAATTTTTTTTACTTGTTGCTAGGCAGATTTAAAACGCAAAGTGCATCACAAACATGGCAAAAACGCAATACATGCTTTTCTGCAGTATTTACATTGAAGTCTATAGAAACAAAAACTCAACTTTTTGCGTTCAAAAAAGCCCCTGGCCATTCCCAAAAAACTGCACCGGGTGAAAACGCACAGGTGTGAACGTGTCCCATTGGAAATCATGTTAAATAGACTGTAGTGCGTTTCTGCAAAATGCTGCAGAAAACGCTTAGGTGTGAACCTAGGGTTAGTGAGGAATTAAAGTGCAACTTTAAGTAAATTGAATTATTGAAGTAAATTAAAGGTTGTTGTTATATTTTCATATTTATTTTATGATTTTGATGTAAGTACATCATTAGATCAACTTTTAATCATCATCATCAATCATTATCATCTCCTCTCTGCAGGTGTGGAGTGGTGATCTCAATCCCAGCTGGAGGAACAGAGACCTTCGTGTGTAGCGGCATGGTTGGCCGATACGTCAATGTCATTTTACGTGGAAAATCAGAATATCTTCATCTGTGTGAAGTTCAGGTCTTTGAACATTACTTAGAAAATGAAGTCTAATACATTTCCATGGAAAATATATTTAAATAAATAAAGTTGTATTAAAAAAAAAAAGAGGTATTGTATTAGTTAGGAAAACATGCTAAGGGTAGGGAAGCACAAAAAATATATACACATAAAGTATTAAAAAATATATACATCTATACATCTATATATATATATATATATATATATATATATATATTTTAACATTTTTATTCTATGTATTATATATATCTAAAAATATATATATATTCATATTTGTATTCTATATTTTTTATTTTATATATATATATATATATATATATATATATATATATATATATATATATATATGAATATATGAGAGAGAGATGATGTAGATCTATCTATCTATCTATCTATCTATCTATCTATCTATCTATCTATCTATCTATCTATCTATATCTATCTATCTATCTACCTATCTATCTATCTATCTATATCATCGCTCTCTCTCATATATTAATATATATATATATATATATATATAATCTATCTATCTATCTACATAGAGATATATATTTTAACATTTATATTCTATGTATTATATATATCTAAAAATATCTATATCTATATATATATATTAATATTTGTATTCTATATTTTTTATTATATATATATATATATATATATATATATATATATATAAATATATATATATAAATTACATAGAATAAAATATTAAAAAATCTACAGTTTTTAAATAAAAATATTAAAAAGCTGTATGGTTTTGGAATACTAGGTTCGTCTTTGCATACAGATAATCCATCAATAGATCTGAAGAAGGATTCTAGTTTTCAGAGTGCTTTTTTTTAATATCTTTAGTGAGCCATCAATAGGTATAGCTTTGACAATAATGTTTGCCTTCCCTACCCGTGTAGTAAAAAACATCTCTGCTTTATTTAATCACGTCACTAATGCTAACAAATTATATAAATGATGAAGCGCTCAACTTATATCCTTCCATAATAAATTAAATAATTATCAATCTATAAAAATCTAGTGCAAAATCCCCACATAAATTATGCACCCCCTAGTGGCCAATAGTGATATTCAACAAAATGACACTTAAACTGTGCAAAGTGATAAATATTATACAAAATATAATGCAAAATCAAATTCAAAATTATTAGTGATGCCACACTGTGCAAAATAATAAAAGTGTTCAATCCACTGTGGTTATGGTTTCACTCCATGCTGCAATTGTGCTCTTCGTGACTCTTGAAGTGACTCCCCTCATTAATAGCCAAAGTGCCCCCTCACCTTCCACATTCGACCCTTGCAGGTCACAAAGCTTTATATATATATAATATATATCTGCCAGGATATTGATACTCCACTGCCTCCACCGACTTTAATCAAGATCCTCCTCCAAGCAATGGGTTCCACTCCAGCTGCACCCGTTTTACGGGTGCACAGTGTGGCATCACTAATAATTTTGAATTTGATTTTGCATTATATTTTGTATAATATTATTATCACTTTGCACAGTTTAAGTGTCATTTTGTTGAATATCACTATTGGCCACTAGGGGGTGTATAATTTATGTGGGGATTTTGCACTAGATTTTTATAGATTGATAATTATTTAATTTATTATGGAAGGATATAAGTTGAGCGCTTCATCATTTATATAATTTGTTTGCACATATCTTGAGGTATAAAGAATAGGTGATAGCAGCTTACTTTTGATCACTAGGTTTTGTGGAGCGCAGGGGGATTTTTTGTATATTTATTACGTCACTAATGCTGTTCATTTAATCCCTTCATGTTGGAGGTAAAAACAAATCTTAATTCCCAAACACATTTTTTGCAACATTGCCATGTGTTAATAAAACTATAAATATCATTGCAACTACTTAAAGTGTTACTAAACCCACAACAGTGCAATCAGTCTGTATATGCAGTAAAGCACGCTTGTTATACTTACTGTGGAACCTAAGGGGTTAATCCTCTACATTATGTAAAAAGGATGTTTGAGCCTGTCTTCTCTCCTTCTTCCAGTGTCCCCCTCTTATCTATTGATAAGACATATCCTGTGGAGACACTGCACATGCTCAGTTTGGTGTGTATTTCTAGAGTTTTTTTTCTTGGGAGAGTGCATGTGATCAGCACAGGGCCAATCAGCACAGTCCAGACAGAGGTCAGGGGTTCTGCATCCTCCTAGAGCAGAATGAAAACTCCTCCTACAAGCTTTAACATGTGCTCTGCTGGACACAGATAGAAGTCACAAGACTGCTCTAACTGCTGATGAGAAAAGGTATTTAGCAGTTTATATTTACTAAAATGATTGCATCTCTATGTTGTGTGTACTGTGGGAGCATGGATATAGTAAATGCAGGGTCCGGGGAGACCAGATATAGTGAATGCGGGGTCCGGGGAGATCGGATATAGTGAATGCGGGGTCCGGGGAGACCGGATATAGTGAATGCAGGGTCCGGGGAGACCGGATATAGTGAATGCAGGGTCCGGGGAGAGCGGATATAGTGAATGCAGGGTCCGGGGAGACCGGATATAGTGAATGTGGGGTCCGGGGAGACCGGATATAGTGAATGCGGGGTCCGGGGGGACCGTATATAGTGAATGCGGGGTCCGGGGAGACCGGATATAGTGAATGCGGGGTCCGGGGAGACCGGATATAGTGAATGAGGGGTCCGGGGAGACCGGATATAGTGAATGTGGGGTCCGGGGAGACCGGATATAGTGAATGCGGGGTCCGGGGAGACCGGATATAGTGAATGAGGGGTCCGGGGAGCCCGGATATAGTGAATGCGGGGTCCGGGGAGACCGGATATAGTGAATGCGGGGTCCGGGGAGACCGGATATAGTGAATGCGGGGTCCGGGGAGACCGGATATAGTGAATGCGGGGTCCGGGGAGATTGGATATAGTGAATGCGGGGTCCGGGGAGACCGGATATAGTGAATGCGGGGTCCGGGGAGACCAGATATAGTGAATGCGGGGTCTGGGGAGACCGGATATAGTGAATGCCGGGTCCGGGGAGACCAGATATAGTGAATGCCGGGTCCGGGGAGACCAGATATAGTTAATGCAGGGTCCGGGGATTAGGAACACTTTAATGTATCCAAGTAGATTATACCACTTTTTTTTTTTTTAGGACAAATTGTGCTTTATTTTAGTGGTAAATGGTAATAGATATCTCCTTTTTTAATTTTCAAAGAAAAAATGGTCCAAAATAGTAAAAAAATAATAATTTCTAAATAAATTTAGATTTTTTTTTTCTAATTTAGCTGTATACTTCTTTCTGGTACCATAACCTACCACCAATGAACACAATAAATTCTATTGCTCCTGACAAACGCATTTGTACATGTTATTTGTTGTTTGTTCATGTACCAGGGGCGTTCTAGTCAAACTGGGACTTTTAATTTTACAGGTATAAAAAGGGAGTCTAGTATGACAGTACTACACGTAGTAGTAACCCATATGGAAGAAGATATATTTGAAATATATATTTTATATATTCCTTCCAAATATATTGCCATATATTTGAAATGCTACAATTTTGGCCATATTCAATATATTTCAAAATATATTTATATATATATATATATATATATATATATATATATATATATATATACATACTGCATGTTGAAATGCATTTTTATTACAAAATATATGCAAAATATTTTTAAAAATACATTTCAAATATACTGTATGTCTTTAAAAATACAAATCTACATTTTTGGAATGGATTTACAAATATATGCAGAAATATATGTTAAAATGACTTTTTTTTATATGTTAAAAAAACCTGAAGAATATATTTAAAAAAAAAATATATTAAAAAAAAAAACGCTGGAATAAGTGTATAAATGTAGCAGGAGAGTATGTTGAAAAAAAAATGCAGTTTCCACTCCTTGAAATTTGTTCTTTTATTATATAAACTCAAAAGTCCCAGTTTGACTTGAACACCCCTCGTAGAAGGATCCAGAAACAATAGTGTGCTTGCATTTCGCATTTTTTTTTCCTACCGAAAACACACTGAAAAACTGACACTAACTGACATTGATATAAATTTTAAAAATGCTTTTTCTTTTCATTCTACCTAAAATATGCTGACCCTGACCATGACCTTTGATCCTAATCTTGACTCTAACTCTAACCCTGATACTGACCTAGATGAAACCCTGATCTAGCTATTTTTTATTTAATATTTTTTTTGCACACAGTATCATTTGTTTACATTTTTCTCCACTAGCAAGGAAATAAAAGATACAATGTATCATATAATGCAGAGATCTCCAAACTTTCTGAACAAAAAGCCCCTTCAGACTTTAGAGGGGCTAAAATGTGTACGAAAATGAAAATGTTCCATTGTTGGTTTTCGGGGGTGGGGGGTAGTGCCCCATCATTGGTATCAGTGGGAGGAATAGTGTCCCATCATTGGTATCAGTGGGAGGAATAGTGCCCCATCATTGGTATCAGTGGGAGGAATAGTGTCCCATCATTGGTGTCAGTGGGAGGAATAGTGCCCCATCATCGGTATCATTGGGAGGAATAGTGCCCCATCATTGGTATCAGTGGGAGGAATAGTGGCCCATCATTGGTGTCAGTAGGAGGAATAGTGCCCCATCATCGGGTATCATTGGGAGGAATAGTGCCCCATCATTGGTATCAGTGGGAGGAATAGTGCCCCATCATTGGTATCAGTGGGAGGAAATAGTGCCCCATCATCGGTATCAGTGGGAGGAATAGTGCCCCATCATTGGTATCGGTGGGAGGAATAGTGCCCCATCATTGGTATCAGTGGCAGGAATAGTGCCCCATCATTGGTATCAGTGGGAGGAATAGTGCCCCATCATTGGTGTCAGTGGGAGGAATAATGCCCCATCATTGGTATCAGGGGGAGGAATAGTGCCCCATCATTGGTATCAGTGGGAGGACTAGTGCCCCATCATTGGTATCAGTGAGAGGAATAGTGTCCCATCATTGGTATCAGTGGGAGGAATAGTGCCCCATCATTGGTATCAGTGAG